CACATACAACATCTTTAAAACATTTCACTTTCATACCTCACGTACTATTTTATTTCAAAATAATGCATTTGTTACATTTTCCATCCATTGATTCGTTAAGTGCTGACGTGGCTGCCACATTTGTACCACGTGGCTGCCAAATGTATGCCATGTGGCAAATAAAAATTAAAAAAAAAAACTTAATCTTCTAAATTAAAAAAAAAAAAAAAAACACACACACACACGCAGAACCCATCCTTTCCCCTTCCCCGCAACCCATACCCCTTTCTTCGACAATCTCCAGATTCAACATCTCCTCACCTTTCTCAACCTCACACTCCACCTCACTGCCTCCCCAATCCTCCGCACCAGATCCTCCCCTTCACCTTCACCCACCTCCTCCACAGCCGTTACAGCTCTAAAGACGACCTCAGCGGAGTACACGGAACCCATTCCCACCACCCCCCCGACCCCCACCTCACTCTCCTCCACTCTCTGCACCTCCCATCCTATCCAAAAACCCACCCCCACCTCTGCCATCGTACTTCTAAAGGGCCGCCGGCTCCGCTGCCCTCACTTCCTGCCATCTTCTTTCTCTGTTCCAATCTCTGCAAACCCTAATTTCAATTCTCTGTTCCAATCGACCGCCATTTGTGCACCAGTACTCTGGCGCCCCCAAATCACACCCTTATTTCTCTCTAATCCCTAAACCCATAAATTGTGCACCAAACTTTATCGTCCCTGATAATCTTCTCCTCAAAAAACACAAACAAAAATCTAGGAAACTCTCTCTATATATCTCTAGATTTCTGACGATGCCGAGCCGAAACTGAGGAGTCATAGCCTAGAACTGGGAGCCGGTGGTCCTCCAAAAGAAGCCCAATAAGGTCAGCGCCCTCCGTGACCCGAAGGCGGTGAACCACGCGATGCGGTCGGGTGCGTCGGTCCAGACCATCAAGAAATTCAATGGGGGCTCAAACAAGAAGGCAGGGACGGTGGTTAGTGTGAAAAAGGTCGAAGAGGTGGGTGAAAGCGAAGGGGGAGGATCTGGTGCGGAGGATCGGGGAGGCGGTGAGGTGGAGTATGAGGTTGAGAGAGGTAAGGAGAGGTTGAATATGGAAATTGTTGAAGAAAGGGGTATGGGTTGCGGGGAAGGGATGGGTTATGCGTATGTGTGTGTGTGTGTGTGTGTTTTTTTTTTTTTTTTTTAAATTTAGAAGATTAAGATTTTTTTTAATTGTTTTTTTTGCCACGTGGCATACATTTGGCAGCCACGTGGCACAAATGTGGCAGCCACGTCAGCACTTAACAGATCAACGGATGGAAAATGTAACGGATGTATTATTTTGAAATAAAATAGTACGTGAGGTATGAAAGTGAAATGTTTTAAAGATGTTGTATGAGGTTGTAATAAACCTCAAACCTGAGGGGCTACTATGTAATTTACCCAAAAAATTAATATAAGATGTTAACGTGACTTAACCGTGACCGTTCAAATAGGAGGGGAGGAAAAAAAAAAAAAAAAAAAAAAAAAAAAAAAAAAAGGAAGAGAATCCTACTTTATAGAAAAAATAATGATTTCATCCGGTTACTATTTCGTGCGGTGGGGCCTACTTAAGGAACATCTAATCTCTTGCCACGTCTGATAAAGTGACCGTTGATATGTTCCACGTGGGACAGTGGCGCTAGTGGTCCTTGCCAGTTGCTACTTGCTAGAGCAAATTATGGGGGAGGGCATTGGATTCCCTACACCTCTCTTCCTATTCATTTTTTTACTATTTAGAAGCTGAAAAATATTGACCTTAATAAATTTGAAGGGTAGGCCAAATTCCTATTAACGCACTAAACAGCACTGCACGGCACTCATGATAAAGTGCATCTCAAATGCGATCCACACATTTTCATTGACCCGTTTTCCAAAGGTATCTTATGTATACGAAAATTTGAAACCAGCGATGTAGCTTCATTGTAAATTAAACAATTTATTTTACAGTTGATTATTCTCATAGTACTACGAAAGTCATAACCACTTAAAATTTACAAATAATCATATCGAGCAATGCACTTATAATTGTTGTCAAGTTAAAAGTGCACAATGCAACTTAATTAAGAACAGTGTTCTCATAAAATCGTGTAGGATGATGTTAAGTTCTTTAAGACACGTCTAAATTATTCGTTTTTCCCTAAATAAAGTGTATGCCAGAAGAAAAATGGCCTGTCAATATTTAGAATACATCTTGATTGCATGTGGTGGAAAGATTTTTCTCTTCAACATACTAAGTCTTGAATTCAAACTCTCATTCTCTCTTTATTGTAGTTTAATAAGAACGTACCAAATCACTCATCCTAGAATAAAGAAGTGTGTTGTAGGTTCTTGATCTTATCCCGTCGGTCACATTTTCCTTGTAAAATATACGGGCCAAGCTTGTATTTTTAATTTTTACTAAACAAGGGAAAGCTAATTGCATCAATCATTTGACTTATTTTGAACTTGTATTTGGATCCAAGCAATGGTATCTTTTGCATGTGATGATTTATGTTCTTCTATCTAGGGTTTGCATGAATGGGGTCCAAACTGCACGATTGCAGAGACCATTGAACCACCCACTGTGAGCTCTGAGTAATATAATTTGTCGATGAGGGGCTTTGGTGTTGGGAGAATATGAAAAAGTAAAGTGATGTTGTTTTTGATTTCTACCTTATGTTAAAAGTGAATTTCTTTCTTCTTTATTGGGTACAAAGGAGGCCAGAGAAGAGGGTCCTTCCTTTGTCTTCATTACAAAAGCATACTTTTCGAGGAATAAAAATGAGTGGTTTAGTATGCTCACAAGCTATTACTTTAGCTTGTTTTAATTTGTTATCTGATTGGATTAAAAATTTATTTAGTCATTAGTTCAAATATTATACGAGGTTCGTTTACCATATGAGATCGTAATGAATGCAATCACGATATGTATGTAACTTGATAATGATTTATACTTTAACAGAGAATGATCTATCCAATCAAACAACTAAAATTGCGTTTACTTGCAACTTGGTAGCCCCTCCTATGCCCTTCTTATACAAAGCATATGGATACACGGATGGCATACCCATTCCTACCATCTCAACAACTACCTTGCCTTACTTCTTCCTTCCTTTGTTAATTCAATATATGTCTCAATTGCGAATCCTTATTCTGATATGAGATTGCCTGCTATTCCTAACAGATGCGCTGAATATCGTGAGTATTAGGATAACATATAAATATGCCTCTATCAATGTATTCAAATTAAAAAAAAGTTGGAATATATGACTTATGAGAGTCTAAACAATCACATATATAGTATTGAATATTTCATACAGGCCTTTTAAATGAAGCGATCCCTATTTTTTTGTTTCAAAAAATGGAGATTACGTGTGGAATTCATTGCACATCGAACTTTAACGATCCAAACCGTCTATTTTGAAGTCTCGATTCATAGATCATCTATGCAAAAATTTAATTCAATTCAAAACCATTTGCCCCTCTAATGGTCATGATGAAATTTCAATGTTTATTAGAATGCAGTGTTTGTCAATTTCTTTGAACTCAATTAGATGACTTAAATATTTCCGATTTGGCTAACATTTTGCAAGGTTATCTATAAGGTGCAACTTGAAAAATATACTGTTTAAATCGTTGAATTTCGATGTGATGTGGATTCCACAACTTATCCCTATTTTTGAAAAAAATGAAAATCCATTCCGTGAAAGAATCTAATATTGTTTCATATTAATTCCATTGCAAAACAGGACACGCAATACTATGTACAACTCTGAATTCTGTTGTGGGCTGTCTTCTTCTTTTGGCCATAAGGTGGTCTTTTACGTTTTCAAACTTTAACTAGCAAAAGCTTGCCACCTTTCACATGTCCTTACTGCTTTAGCAATTAGCAGTGTCTAGATTCATGTAACAAGCTTAGCTTGCATCCTAAATTTTGAAATAAAGAGTGAAGGACTACTGTTACCTATTTGACATCCGAATTAAACTAAACTTCAGATTGCAAATAATTGTGATTTTTTTAACGAGGTGTAAAAACAAAGGGGTCCACGTATAAATGGGTTCGACGGTGTGCAAATGGAGAAAAAAGGGCTGTAGAAATCGTTTCCCTTCTCTTATTGAAGGCTATCACATGTTCTTAGCCAATTTGAGCAGTTCATGGTGACCCCATTCACGTGTAACTTAGGATCCCTTTTATATATGATAGTGAAACACGTTCATGTAGTATTACTGATTCACGTGTTATAACAGATGAATTTAAACTTAATAATCAATTATGTTATAGCCTTAATAACCAATCCACACGTTATAATACGAGTGAACATGCTATACCTACATTAAGTACAATGACTATAAGAGGAAGACCCCTACAAAAAGAAGGGGACGTTAGGTTTGTTGGTAGATTTTAGTTTGGTAGGCACGTTAAAAACCCTAGGACCTAAGAGAAAACTAGATGAATGATACCATGCAATAATTACACGGATGATGCCGGATTAATTAACTCTAACATAACAAATTGGCTATTTATTTTTCATTCCGTAACAAAAAATGATAGGGAAACAACATTTCAAGCCATATTTATGCACCGCGTGATGTGACAAGCCGTATATACATGTCATGTAATTAATGAGTTTATCTCATTAATCATTGACTGTGTTTCAATTGCAAGATCACATTCATTATACATGAATGAGGTTAAAAATTGAGTTCCCTAACATTACTCTAACGTAACAACAAAAGGTACTGTTATTTAGTGGTTCTTGCACTCTTTTGTAATATCATTTTTCCTTTTTATATAAATATGTAAAAATTATTTCATTAACTAGTATAACACATTTCTTTCGACTTAAAAAAAAATTAAAAAAAAATAATAAAAAACAGAAAATAACTTCTTTTTTTGGGTCACCCACTTTTCATCTTGTTATATTTGAGACGAGTATTTTTAGGGCCCAGAAAGCCCAAGACGCCATGTGCATCCTTCGATGTACATTGCCATCCAATCGTGGCAACTGCACAAGTGCATCACAAAAATTTGCAGCTTTTCAACTGAGAAATTCCGAGTTTCTCCCAATATTACAACTGAGTTTTGAAGTAGCAAGTCATCAGAGGCAAAATTCGAACAGTCCTATGTATATATATGACTTCATAGGAGTGATCAACTACACAAAACTTATCTACAAGATTTTTGTGGGACGGTAGAATTTTTTTCCATTAATCCTTACCAGTGAACTAATAGCAAATGCAACGACGAAGGTCAGGCGGAAAGCCAGTCATCGACCTTCGAACCTGCCCAGCTGGGATTTGTAATACTGCCTTCCTGAAAATGGGAGCAACAAGGTTAGTCATAAAGCACGTAAAAGAGACCGAAACTGGAAACACCAAATATGTGCTGCTGCACATGCAGTAGAGGCTGAATGAACGATTAGAGGCATCCAAATCTGACCTGTGGAAGCACCCCGTGCATGTTGGCTCCTTAGAGGTACATCATGGTCTTGTTAACCAGTGGTAGTGGGGCCCCATCTTTTCGAGCTCCCAACACCTTTAGACTGAAAGTTCCGAACAAGGCACCAGTTATGTCATGAAGCCTTACTCAATTGCGTAACATGATGAACTCAACATATCCATAAGGTATTATAATAGACGAAATAACAGAGTTCTTTTAACTGTCTGAAGTACAATGCAGTAAGTTGCAGCTTCAAGAGGAAATGTAAGAATACAAACAAAATCTTCCAGATTACAGCCAGTAAAAGAACAGAGCAAACACGACTTCAATAAAAAAGAGTAAACGATTCTAAGGGAAAATGTGATGAAGCGAATTTGAATACGAGTAACACTGAATCGCAGACAACCAATGGTGTAGTTGCATTGTTTTTTGGGTTCATTAATTTTGATGCTCAAAGGGTCCATAGGTCTCAGTGTTTTCCTCACGAACACTAGTGCAACTGTGCAACATGTCAGACTTTTATTGGGCTTACATCTATTTAGGAGTCCTAAGTGATTAAGAATACGGGATAGGAAGTAATAATTGATTATCCAGGATTACTTGATGGTGAAATAAAGAAATAATTAATGGGAATATCTATCCGATTAGGTCGTGGATTCTAGAGGTGCTAAATATATGTCCTAGGGTTTTCTTTAAGGGCAAGAAACCTAATACTCTCATCTATAAATATAAGCCTTAGGTCCCCGCTCTTATACACAATATTGTAGCACAAAACCCTACCCCATATAGGAGTGCATAAGGCGTGTAGAGAGAGTGGAAGATCCTTGCTTGTTGCTGCCGTTCATGATTCATCCTTGTGCTTCGGTATAATGGCTTCTCAAACTTTGTACTTTTAGTGTGCATATTATAGATTGACTTACACAACATCCCCAAATCACAAATAAACAATAGACAGGGCACAATCGTACATCGCCAATTTATAAAGGCAAAAAATTCGATCAATTTACCACAGATATCGCAGCGCCAGTTCATTACATCAAGTAGTGCCAAACCAGACAAATAAACAAAATGATGCATTTGTCTTAGATGCAGAGATTTCTACATGTAACTACAATGTCTAAACCGTATTATACCTTCTGCTGTACTGACAACATTGTAAACATAAAAATTAGAGCTTAAACCCTAACTAACCAACTAGTTTTGTTCATTTAGAAACAACCCCACTTCTACTTCCAGCTTGTTGTCCGTCTTTAATTTTATTTTATGTTCTTGTGGCATTGAAATAACATATTGCTACGTTTTCGAGGCCGCCAAAAACGCTGCCATTAGCTCTACGCAACCTTTGGCGCATGAAAAGGTGCAAATTAGGGAGCATGCACCCCGCACCTTCAACATCCCATCTCATTCCACAGCTCCAATAATTCATGGAGATGATTGAATTATATCCTAACAGGCCCTTTCCAGAGGGAACCCCATTTTTGAGTAAAAATGGGGACTACTTATAGAGCCCACTCCACGTCGAACTTCAACGATCTGAACAATCTATTTTGTAAGTCTTGATTCATATATCATCATTGCAAAAATTCAATTTAATCCGAAACTATTTGTCTATTAAATTAGCACAATAAAATTTCATTGTATCTAGTAGAACAAATTATTCGTCAATTTTTTTGAACTCAATTAGATGTCTCAAATATTTCCGATTTGGCTAATATTTTACAAAGATGATATATGAGATCCAACTTAAAAAATAAACAGTGAGCCCACAACAAATCCCCAATTAAAAAGAAAATGGGAATCCCTTCCAAAGGCCTCCTATATCCTAAAACCCTATACATATTAGGTTATAATGACGTTTTTTTGATAGTTTGACATGTTATGTATGGCATTAGCAAATTAATTGTATTAAAGCACATATTAGAAAAAGGTTACCTTGTATAAGGCAAGGGGCAGAAAATGATGACGTAGTCGGCGGAGGCGCACGTGTACGTACTCGTCTTGTCGTCGTACGCGTAGCTATACGAGCGTGGGCAAGCATGCTTGAAAAACAGCGAGTACGCCGACGGTTGACACGTGTCGGGCGTAGCGTACGCCTCACTACAACAAAACTGCGGATCCCCAAACGCCTCGCACGCGCTCCTACACGCCACGCTCCCCCTTCCGCTCTCACGCACCCTCAGCGCCCTGGGGCACTTGCCGTTCAAGTCGACGAGGCACCCAGTCGGACTGCATCCCCCTCTTGTACCTCCACGTGGCACCACCAGCATCGGCAAGTTGTACCCGTCCACCAAGCTGACGTCATAAAAATCCAATCCGTTGGTGCCGTTGAGCGTGAACTCGGCCAACGTAGCCGGCGGTTTCGCGCCACCTCCGGCACACTCGATTTTTCCCGAGCCGCAATCGGCTGTGACGCAGGAGAAGTTACCGGGCGAGTATCCGGTGCATAGAGTCCGAGCCCAGAGCCGACCCGACCAAGATTTGGGTACGGAAAGGGTCCGGGACTTGCCGGGTTTGAGCGCGAAGCCAGTGGGGGAGAGCGGAGCCGTGTTGGCGCCGGAAAGTATTCCGGGCCATACTTCGTAGCGGCACTTGTTGACTAGTTTGAAAGAAGCTGAGTTCACCTCTGCAAGAACCAAAAATTTTTCAATAAAAAATGAAATTTTGAGAATTGGGTTTTGATGTTCATGGAAAATTATGAATTGGGTCGGAGAGAGAATTTGAATTTAGAGTTAATTACCTGAGAAGAAAGAGAGGGCGACGAGAGCGACAAGAGAGGCAGAGAGTAGAGGACGATCCATCGAAGAAGAATGCCAAAGAACTTTACTTTTCTTGCGAGGAGAGTAGGCACAAAGCAAGAAGGATGATATATATTTTTTTCTTTTTATTTTTATTTTTATTTTTGTTTTGCTTTTTGGGTATTTTCGGTTAAAGAATTGGAACGGTATTGTGACTTGTGAATTTGGGCAATACATTATTATATTTGGCTTGTGATTATCCATTTTTAGTGACATTTTTAAAGCACCATCGCATCACTCTGCTGTCTTCGTGTGCACAATGGACCAATGTGCTAGGTGGGAGAAATTTGTACGAAAATGAAAGGAAACGTTACAGCGACAATGTCTCAAATAAATTTATAAAAAAAAAACAAAAATAATTCACAAATTCATTTGAGATACAACCATTTTATCATTCTTGATTTATGTAAGTCATCGTTGGTTTTGTTGATAAATTGTGTGTGTGTGAGTATTGGTTCAACCAGGCTTTGAACGTTTGGCATTGTATGGGACCCAGAAAAGAAGAAGAAGAGAGAAATGCAGTTGTGAGAGAAGCAAGCATGAAGCGGCACATGGTGCGATGGTACGAGAGGATTCTGTAATCATCTGCATATATGACATATCTCAATTAGTAAATGCCACATTCATTCCTTCACTACCCAAACAATAAATACAAGTCACTTTCCGTAAGTGGTTTAAGGTCAATTTTTATAATCAATGATGGTATTTTGATTTCGAGTTAGCCCAACCGGTTGGAGCAGATATCTGAACAGAATGGACTGGCCGACGACGACTCGCTTGATCGGAGACCCGAGCTCCGGCCAAGTAAAGTGCAAAGGCCCAAGGGCCACTGGGTAGGCCACCGTGGGCGGGGTTGCTGTGGGTGCGCAGAATAACGAGAGAAATGTTGCACGGTTTATTTCACACTTGGACCGCTAATAACTAGATGATCTCAGCCGTCCAATACATTTCTTTTTCATGGGCTGTGTATCACAGGCCTATTCAATTGGGCTTCACAAAATGGCCTATGAAACTTTGGGTCTTGGGCCATACTGAATTTAGTTTCGTAGTATCACCTTACAGGAAATTTAAAAGCTAGAAAAATAATTTCTCACTCTTTTATCCTTTTGCACTACTCCTTTTGTTTATATCGACGTGATTGAATTAATAAACACAAGCAAAGAGAACGACGAGAAATGGGAGTGTGAAATTTTTTTTTTCCAACCTTAAAAAGTGATCAAGGTGGAGTATTTCTAATTGGGATAAATTATCGTTTTATCCCAACGATCGACGATTCTCAATTACTTCTTTTCTTTTTCTTCAGTAAATTAAGGTCACAAACTATATTAGAATACGAATGTGGATTACCGTCTAATTTTTCAAGCTTCCTAATTCCATTGATCCAATAATTATATTTTGGACTGCAAGCCAAAATGGACAATGTTCTTGCACAAACCTTTTGTATCTATGTCAAAAACCACTAGCAACATCATACCAAATGTACGATTGTGTATACATTTGTCACCTTGGGCCAAAAAATTCAAACTAAAAGGCCACTACTGAGCTTAGAGACTCGGCTCAAAACAATATAAAGAGTCTATTCAACAAAAATATTAGATCCAACATACCCTTATACTTTTCCTTCCCCTTTTCATGGTTGTGCAATGTCAAATTGCAGCTTTAATGTGTTGCCCACAGCCCAAGGTGGCGCTAAAGTTGTACACATTTTCTTTTAAAGAAAGGGTTCTTTGGCCCCAAAAATTGTTCTCAGAAAGGAGGGCCATAAAGCCAATCTACCATTATTGTGTTTTGGATATTATGTTATCTTCAATTCAATTATTTTGCACCAATAATAATAAAATTTGACCCACTTCTTGTATTTTGCTAATGGGGTTGACCCATATTTTCAATTGATCGTTAGCACAAAACCAAGGGACCCACTTGTTCTAGTTGAATTTCAGGTCAATATTGTAGGGTTTCCAAAAAGCCAAGGATATTCTCCGATGAGCACAAAAAGACAACCTTAAGAATTGTTCATGACCAGAACGAGAAAAAGAAGAGCAAAAGTTTGACCAATTATGGAGCTTTAATCATTTTGTAAGGATAATCCGTATGTAAGAGTTTAATTAAGCATATTTCCCTTAATCTTGGAAGAAAAAAGAAAAAAACAGAAGAATACCACATTCATGCAACATGCTTTCTGCTCATAGAGATACAAAGATTAATGGTGTTATTGTATAAGAATTGTTATTAGCATTTCAAAAATCTCATTTGGCACTTCAAACGTTATATAATTAGAAAGAAAAATACACTTGTGAGAGGTGTAGAATGAGATTTTTGACGTGCTAATAACAATTCACTATTGTATTTGGAGGGACATGATCTCGTTTCAAAATTTTAGATAAATTGTTAATCACGTTGAGTTTTGTCATAAAGTGCGGTCAATATTTTTCGTATTTCGAGACACATACTTAGCTAAGTACGTACTTGATATGATAGTATGTTAACCCAGTTCTTGCATAGTTGATGCAACATGAACTAAAAAAGGTTCAAGAAATTATTGTTCATGATAGGCTGACTTAAGCTACAAGGACCAGCTCGCGTGCTAAGAAACTTTACCACTCTTTGAATTACTTAGTTGCCAATTTTGGTGTTCCTCAACATTTTGAAAGATTTGGTTTCTTCTTAATCAGCATTACTGATTAATTAATCTCAATGATATGGCTTTTGTGTTTTGGTCCCCAACCTTAAAGACTCCAAAACATTTCTTGGCAACAAAATTCATAGCAATTGGCATGCTTTGTCTCTAGATTTGTCACACATGTGACGTTTCAAGAGAGGAGAATTTCAGAGACAAAATTAAAAGGGATAAACATGCTTTCTGCCTTTGTCTGGGTTTTAGCTTCTCGTCACACTAGCTATACGAATATTAGAATTAGTCTGAGTCGGTAACCTGAGATAATGGACATGCTTATACGAATAATGAATGCTAAATACAATCGAGCAAGCACGGTGATCTCACAATTGATGAATTCAGTAATATACATCGATAACTGGCAATTGTGACCTGGGATGTCTTATCGGGCACTTGGCTGGAGTTTTTTGTTAATTTCACATAACAAAACTATAATGGCCACCTAACTAGGGCATGATTTTTGATCTGATGTTGCTTTCAAACATTCTATCAAACCAGTACTCGACTGCTAGCACTGCTTGTTGATCTGACAGGGGAATGCAAACCCTAGATATCCATCTGCATACAGTACTCCTAGATCTCAAATCATACGATGAACAGCGGATACCATCATAGGGTCCGGATGATAAGATGTAATATGTGAGAATAATCTTGTAGAATATATGCAGAATCATATGGTGCCGAGGGCTCACAGTCAAAGGAGACACAAATCACAGGGAATGTTTCTGGTCCTAGAGACTAGAAAGCATGCCCAAACAAGGAATAGGATGTACGTGGGTGCCCAACAAAACCCATGAATATGTTGCCCTGCACCCAAACAAAACTTTTTACACCTGATGAATAACGTGGTGTGATTTCTTAATATCAGTAGCATACTGCATAAATGGGTTTTATCATTATTTGGTGGAAGATAATCAATAATCTCTCCAGGTGACTGTTGTTCGAATTCAAAATCTTCACACTGCTTTGAAAAGGGTGAAAAAGTTGAGAAAATTATATATGTTCTTGGTGTAATATTATTACTGATAGTTACCGAAATTAATGTTTCTCAATTGGTTAAAACACTGTAATATATATTTCTTAATATTCCTTTTTTATTTTTCGTTTATTTAATATTAGTCTTTATATGTTTTGTTTTTGTTATGTATTATTCAAGCATGGTTTAGGAAGGCTGTCTGTTTCAATTCACATGTTGTGTTAATGGGGAAATTAAAGGACGGTCAAAGAATCTCATTGACGTATCAGAACCTGATATATATGTTCATATGCTAAAATACTTTGCTGCTAGGTTAGCCAGCAATTTGGTCGGTCATCACGGGGTGCAATATATGCCTAGTTTTCTTATATTTTGAGTAAAATACATCAACTAAATAAAAAAGGATCTAGTTGGTACGTAGTTCCTCTTGCAAGTACAAAGAGCTGAAAAATAAAAATAAAATCTTACACAGAGTCTAGACATATTACAAATCAAAGATTTGTGTTCTTCCATCAAATGCTTTACATATTATATTGTCGGACTACTAATCTAACATATATTCAAATAGGTAGGTTGTTTTAACTTTGCTGGAGAAGGTCTTCCGTTCAAGTCATTTAGCTCACAATTGTTGAATAATTAACTAAATTAAAATAGGTGATAAGCTATTTATTAATCTAGAAATATACTTCTCGTCTCATGTTAAAAGAAGTCTTAAGATATTAATTCCCGCAAGCCATTGAGAAAAATGCAGCAGTACTTAACTAATTAGGAGTGATAATATAAAAGGAGATGCTGTTTTCCAAGCGCATGCACATGATGCAGCAAGAAAAACTGTGGAGAGTGGTTTTTATATTGGCTACATATTTTGTCCACAAAGTGAATTATCTAGTGAAAACAATAAGGAACCATGTGAGAGACATTGTGGAGTGAGTAAATAAGTTTCGTCAACTGCAAAGAGGTGAGATTTCCAGTTGGAATTTGGACTTTTTTTAAGAGTAGCAGCGGTGGTGGTGGGAGTGGGAGTGGGGAGGTTCTGTTCTCGAGTCCACCACCACACCATACCAGAAAGCAATTGAGGGGAAGAGGAGGTTTTGAGGTTGCCAATAGCAGCATAAGAGCCATGTGAAAAAAGCAGCTTTCTTCTTCTTGTAATGAGACCACGCCCGTTTGGCTGCAATCATGTGGTCTACTTTGTTATAATTTCCCTCCCTTCACTCTTTCCCTTGCCCCATGTCCACCTCCCTCCCTAAGCACCTTGATCTTCTACAACAATTATGAAAAAAGAAAAAGAAAAAATAACACTAGTTGCATTTTGGGTTTTACCATCTACCCTTTTACCAAACCATATCTTTGCTCATTTTAATTTCCTTCTAAAAGCACTTCTAAAAAGTATGTACTTTATCCAATATTGGCTCTCCAATCTCAATGAATAGTAAGAAATGCATGCATGGGTACATGAGAGAGCACATTCCACACG